TCCCATAAGTTTTGGTAACTCGTGTCTTCATTTTCATTCGTTTTTAGGAATCTTTTGATTTACTCTTTGATTTCCTTTCTAAGCCACTCATTGTTCAATAGCGCACTGTTTAATTTCCAGGTGTTTGATTTAGTTTTCTGTTTTTGTGTGTGATTTACTTCTAATTTCAACGAAGATTGATGGTCTGAGAAGATTGTTGATACAATCTATATCTTCTTAATTTTATGGAGGTATGTTTTGTGGCTCAGCATGTGGTCTACCTTGGAGAATGTTCCATGCACGCTTGAAATGAATGTGTATTGATCTTTTTGAGGATGTAGTGTCCTGTATATAATTTCTAAGTCCCTTTCTTCCCTTGATTCCCTCAGATGAAGTATGTCCTTGCTAAGCTTGAGTCTGGTTGATCTAATAAGAGGTGATAAAGTGATGTTGAAGTCTCCCACAAGTATTGTGTTGCTATTGATGTCTTTCTCCAAGTCTATGAGTAGTTGTTTTAAGTTCTTTGCTGGTCCCTCGTTAGGTGCATATATACATTTAGTATTGTAAGTTCTTCCTGTTGTACAGATCCTTTGATCCATAAGAAATGGCCTTCATTGCCTCTTGTGACCTTCTACACTCTGAAATCAATGTGGTCTAATATTAGGATGGCTATCCCAGCTTTTTTTGGGAGCTGTTTGCCTGTAGGATTGTTTTCAAGCCTTTGACTCTGAGCCTGTGTTTGCTTTGACTATTGAGACGTGTTTCTTGCAGGCAGCAGAATGTTGGGTTCAGTTTTCTAATTCATCCTGCCACTCTGTGTCTTTTAATTGGTGCGTTTAGCCCATTGACATTGAGAGAGATTATTGTTATGGTGTTTTGTTTCATTTTTCTGTTAAAATTTGGTGTATTTGAGGGGCCTGTCTTGTCTTAAAGTAGCCCATTTAGTTGTTTTTGTAACCATGGTTTTGAGTCTATGAAGTTCCTGAGCTGTTGTTTGTCTGTGAAACTATGTGTTGTTCATTCTGTTATGAATGAGAGTCTCACTGAGTAAAGTATTTTTGGTGAAGCATTTATTTCATTGAGTTTTTTTCCCCTATATCCCACAACTGTTTTCGGGCCATGAGGGTTTCATCAGAAAAATCAGCTGTGAATTTTAAGGATGCTCCTTTGAGGGAAATTTCTTTCTTTGATCTTGCTGCTTTCATAATTTTGTCTCTATCTAAGGTTTTGGTAATTTTGATCAGGATGTGTCATTTATTTCATTTATGCTTGCTCTTCAAGGCCGTGTTGTCCCTTGAACATGTATCTTTGTTTGCTGGCTTTCTTTTCCATCTGGAGAAGCTTGTGTTCTCTGTTGAACACTTAATTCCTCCCCTCATATGCTTCTAAGTAAATTTCGTTCAATAAAAACTATCTTGTTTCTCTCTAAAAAAGTATTTAATAATGAAACAGATGACTAGTTTTTATTATTAAACTGCAGTATAAGAAAATTATTTAAAAAAATCGGTATCTACTTTTATTTACAGAATCAATCCAATATACATTAAAATTGAGGAATAGATATATCAGTTATTTTAATACATTATTTTGTTTTCTATAAAGCCTTAATTATTAGACACAATCTCAAATATAGTTTAAAAAATTACATCATCAACACGAGAAACAGAAAAATATCCAAGAAAACATATTCAAATTATTTTACATAGCATAATAAGCCTACGTGATATAGGAAACTTTGAAAAACTTCCAAACTACAATGTTAAATATGTAATATTAACTCTTATGAATTTGTTGTAATAATAGTTAAAGCGACACAGGATATATTAAGCCATACTATTGAATATTGGGGCTGGAGCGATAGTACAGTGGTAGGGCATTTGCCTTGCATGCGGCTGGCTGAGCCGACCTGGGTTCGATTTCTCCACTCCTCTCAGAGAGCCCGGCAAGCTACAGAGAGTATCTCACCCGCATGCAAAGCCTGTAAGCTCCCCGTGCATGTTCGATATGCCAAACACAGTAACAACAAGTCTCACAATGGAGACGTTACTGGGCCCGCTTGAGCAAATTGATGAACAACAGGAGGACAGTGCTACAGTGCTACTATTGAATATAAATACATTTAAATACATTCTGATATGCTATTTTATAATACTAATAAAACGTATTAGTTGCTATATCACTATAGATCTATTTTCATATTTTCTTTTCTGAATTTGATAATCTGACCTTAGAACACAAAAATATTTTAATTCACTCCATAATACTTTGCTTTCATTTAGAATATGAATCAATTTAAAAATGTACAGTGCATATATATGATATATCTAAATGGTTGATAGACATTCATATCTATATACAAAGATTCAAGACACATTTCACATACATATGAAAAAATTAGACTTAATATTTTATCTACAGTATATATTTTATCGGCAGAGCTTGGTGAGCTCCCATGGCGTATTCAATATGCCAAAAACAGTAACAACAAGTCTCACAATGGAGACATTACTGGTGCCCGCTTGAGCAAATTGATGACAGTGAAAGTGATGCAATAGAATCCCATAATTCAGTTTTGAGGGAAGATTCAAAGGAAATAATTAGGAATAGTCCTGAAATTTTTACTTGAAATGCAATTAAGAATCATTCTCTAATATTTATGATCTAGCTTCTAATTGCTTTAGCGTTAATTCTAATTATAATCCTGTGTTAATTCTAATTGTTGCCAATGAAAGTGAGTAGAGGGCAGGGCCACATTGTTGCTTCTTCACCACCAAGTTTAGCTTCCCAGAATTCCTGCCCTGATTGTACTCTACATAGACCTATGCATCCAGTATGAAAATCCTAGTGGACACACTGTGGTGTGGGTTTAAAGGAGTCTTTTTGAGGGTTAGGTGCAGTCTTCTTAGATGATTTCTCGTTATGCTTCAGTAACTGCATCAAACTCAGAGGTAACAGTTTAAAACTCTGAATGTCCAACCACATTGCCCAAATGTATGTTTTCACTCTAAAAACCCAGAAGATTTGGGGCCGAACGATAGTACAACAGGTTAAGCGCTTGCCTTGCACACAACCTACCAGGTTTGATCACTGGCACCACGAATGATCCCTTGAGGCTCGCCAGGAGTAATTCCTGAACCGCAGGGTTAGGAGGAAGCCCTGAGCACCACTGGGTGTGGACCCTCAAAACAAACATACACAAAAGATTTAACAAAATTTGGACTCATCTTTGTTTCAATCCAAAAACTTTTAGTTTTTGAACAGCAGAGAGAAGTTTCAAATTGGCTGATAGTTACAAAGTGTTACAAAGGGCAAGAATACTGAGATGATTCTGTGACTCAAATAATGAAGTAATTAATTGATGACTCACATTGAAAAGTATGATTTAAAAAAGCTATTTTTAGGAAGCAGAATTCCAAGACCTCAGGTTTAATCTATATAAGACATTTGTAAGCAGTTTTTAGACCTATTGGTCTAAGGAGTAGAAGGATGAGAACTGGGGAAGATGAGACAATGAAGAGGAGTGAAGATGATGGCTCTGAGTTCTCACCCTCTCATCCAAATATCACTCCCTTATCTATAAAATTTGAAGAAAGAACCAATAGCAGTGCTAAAGTTAGTAACAATAGCAGTGCTAAAGTTACTTCCTCTAAGAGATACAAAATATTTATGACCTATCTACAAATCATTGTAAGTTCCTTATGAAGGAGAAGGAGTCAGATAAAGTAGCTGGAGGAAATCCAAAGTGTTCCAACTAATGAAAAATGCAGTTTAAAAGTCAAATAGTGTTGTAATTTATTTGTTTGGGAATGAAAGAAACTGATGGACTTGACTGGCTTTTATTTACCTACATTCCAAAGAAAGCCCATTCCAACTTTAAATTGGAAAAATTTAGAAAGCAGAAGCATTCAGTCTTTAAAGCTGTTTGAAATTAGAATTCAGCCTAATTGAAACTATTCTCCATGCTTTGCAAAAACTCAGCAGCATTATTTTGAAATATGAATTTTTATTCATAATTGAAATAAACAAATAATGATTAATGTAAAGTAAAAATGTTGTGCAATTTGAAGACCCTTAAGATTATAGTAAAAGCAACTGCTAGTATACATAGACTATTGGAAGCTATTTTCACACAACTTGATTTTAGCTAATCTTCACAAGAACCCCATGAGGTGTTATCAACCCATTTTACAGTCAAGAAAAAAATGTCAAGGCTTTTGTGTTTTTAAATAATTTGAATAAAATCATGCATTATTAATGCCGGGATCCAGGCTAGTTTTAGAGCAGTTTTCTTTCTCTATCCCTATCCCACTTATAGCCCTTCCTCTCCTCTCTATGAAACTGGTAGATAGAATGGAGACCAGAAGGAAATAGCAAAGTATTTTTAATTAAACACAAGGGGACATTGCATATATTCAGTCAATCCTTAGGAGATTCTCCTATTTGTGAATATGTATTCCTCTAAAATTAAGTAATGACTGTGCTAAAAATCCAGCATAGCACAGGCTACTCAAAAACAATTGTATGAAACAAACACTATTTTATTACAAAAAAAACACTGTTTTTATTACAGTGTTGTAGAGAAAGTTGACATCGTATAAGACAAAACTTTTTCTCTTCTAATAAAAGATGGTATTTATGACTTCATATAAATATAACCTTAAAAGGAAATTCCAGTGGGAGAAGAGAGATTTTCTTGGTTAGTTGACATTTTCTATAACCTTCAGCATCTTGGGAATGATGCTTTCCATAGCCAATAAAAAGATGAGAAAACTAAAGGAGAGCACTGCCAATTCTAAAGGTATTATTTTGAAATTTAAATGACTTATAACTGAACTCTTCTCTTATACACTCTGAACTAATCCCTCAAGTACTAATTGTCTCAATAAACTCTAATATGTCTCAAGCACTCGTGTCTCTCTGGTGCATCTTCTTAAGGCTATTCTTTGAGGCTATACTTCTCTGGTGCGTATATGAATTTTATTGAACAGAAGCATAATTTCTCTTAAAACCCTTCTAATTCCTTTTCAACTTAAGACTGATGATGCCCTCACTTTATTATAGAACTGCTACTACTGTATAAACTAATCATGCCATAAGTATTTGAAAAATAAACCAATAACAAAATATAATTCTGGGTGACTAGAATATTTTCTTTAGAAAGATAACTTCTGTTATAGTTCTGGGAATCAGGCCTGGAAATTTTAACATAAAATAATATAACATGATTTTTATTAACATTTTATATAAAACAATTCATAGGTTTTGGTCATAATGTACAATCACAATCTTGTACTCAGTGAATTGATTTAGGATTATCTCATACAAGTTCATCTCATTTCCTAACTGGCTTTATTAGTAAATGGACTAAAATTTCTTTATAAGAGTCATGCTGTAAGATAGTGGGGATTCAGGTTGAAGCAGGGATGAATTTGATGGATCTTGAAGATTTAGGCGAGTCCTTCCATGTACCCATACTATTTGTTGGACTTCGGTTGTTAGTGTAAGAAGTCTGTCTTCTGCTCATACTGTCAGAATCTTCTTTGTTGAATTTTTGCTTCATGTTTTGGCAACATGGGAAGCTTTGGACACAGTCTTGCAGGAGATGACCACTAAAAAACATGTATATCCAGGGATTGCAGCAACTATTCAAGGAAGCCAATAATGCAGTGATGGTAATGGCTGGATTTTCTGACTCTATAAGAGATAAGATAAAGAAGGAATAATTAAAGTCACACAAAGATAGCTGAACATTGAATACATTCATTTTTCTATTGGCTAATGGAAATAAAAGTTATGGGCTAATATGAAAAATGAATTGTTATTATGGTAAATGAATCTGCTTATCAACGAGGAAAATGGGTGGTTAATGGAACATGCTTGGTTGTAAAATAGTTCCACAAGCAAGACAACTTTAAATTAATTCAAATATTTCAAAATTATAACCAAACATTTAAGTAGAGAGAGTAGAAGTGTCAAGAGGTTAAGAATATTACCTAATACATAAAGATCTTTTCATGCCCATGATAGTCAGCACTAGTATATGCTAGTAGTAATAGTACATACAGGATGACTGCAATTTCAGTAAAATTTCAAGAGTCTAGAGCCACATACACCAAGTAGCATCTGTCGTTATAACTTGGGCACAAATATCACATTATGGACAAGAAAAAAATGCAAAGATTCTATACTTGAGTTTTCTTCACTAGAAATGTCTTTTGATTTTATAATAAAACCATCGTTGTGGTTCTAACAAACTATATTAAAAACAGCTGAATTAAAAAGTTATAAAAGGTTTTAAAATGCTTTATATTAATTTGATCTGGTAAAGTACAAAAATATAATCTTTAATAGTTGAACCACTGAACTAATCGTGTGCCTTTTTAAAAGTAAGAATAATCAAATACAAACTTTAACTTATAAACAGTGGTATTTTCACTCTTGTTATGTCAAATTAAATTGAGGTTATTCATCTATACTTGTCAATGTTGATATTAAAGGTCTATGATTAAGGTAATACTTTTTTTTTTTGCTTTTTTTGGGGGGGTCACACCCGGCGATTCACAGTGGTTACTTCTGACTCTGCACTTAGAATTATCCCTGGCAATCCTCAGGGAACCATAAGGGATGCTGGGAATCGAACCCGGGTTAGCTGCGTGCAAGGCAAATGCCCTACCCGCTATGTTATCGCTCCCTAAGACAATATTTTTCGAATGAAAATTATCAACATATATGCATAAACTGGTTTTTAATAATTGGGTATAATCCTGATTAAAAACTAGACTGAAATTTTCTTTCAATTGGAAATAAGAGATTCCTAAAATTGATCAAAACAGGAAATTGTGAACCAAAAACATATTACTAATGTTGCAATTTTCACTATCACTAATATTATACCCATACAAGAACTTTTATTAGTTTGAGTTAGACTTTTCAATGTTTTATTTGCTCTTTTAACTTCCAAAGTCTATCACATTACTTCCTACCTTTAATCCCAAATAACAAAAAATACAACTCAGTTGTCAGTGATATTTTTTTTACTAAAGAGAAATACTCTTTTCTAGATACAACATTATCTTAAATATTTTGGTAGTAAATTCTGGTGGAGTTAGTTTTTCCAGTTTGTGAAGGCATTAAATTCAAAGGAGCTAGCAGGTGTAGGGGAAGTTCTCAGTAAACTACTGTCAGAGTTGGATAGAGAAGATGCAGCAGTGTGATTGTTAGTGCTGAAAATTTAATGAGTTACTTGAAGAAATTTAGGGCTTATCAACCACCCAGCTCCAAAATACCAGGAAAAGTGTTCAACTGGTAGAAATTGATAGAAAAAAATTAACATTATGAGACTGAACACCAGCTAAACACTAAATAGAACTACTGACTTGCCAAAACTTGAGAATAACAAGTCCATTTCATACCTTTGTCCTTGGAACATTTCTATTAAAATGTTACATGAATTGTGACATGTGATAAACTAGGAGTGGTGACACCTCCTCACCTTCTGCCCCCCCCTTCATCCCAGTACAGGAAACTTGAACACAGGTTATTAACTATGGATACTCATTTGCACAAAGTGATCACGGTTTTGTCGGAGTGTGGCTGAGTCTAGCGCACAGTTTCTGGACTTGTAATCTGCACCTCATAGGGAGCTATTAATGCAGATTGCTAGGTTCCAGTCCATATTGACAGAATAAAAATATCTGGGATGAGGACACCAGGCATTTATTATTGGGGTTGAGGGAGGGCTATTTCACACTTTGTAATTTTCAAACATGCAGTTTAAGAATGATGGTCTTAGAAAATAATAAACTCTTCTGTCTCTGTCTCTATCTCTGTCTCTGTCCCTCTCTCTCACACACGCGCGCTCACACACACTACCCCATCCCTGCCCCACCCCGTCCTCTATTGTCCCGGCACCTACCGGCCCATTCCAACTTCTCATCCCAGACAGACCACATCTGGGTGATGAAAAAGGGCGTCCAGCAAGCGATGTAAGCGGTCACAATCACCAAGGTCATCTTGACTGTGCGGATCTTGGCGCGGGAAATGGTCTTGACACTGCTCACACAGGGAGCCTGCAGGAGCCCCTTGCGGAAGGCGCCCCCCGCGCTCCCGGGGCCCCCCGCGCTCCCAGAGCCCGGGCCGCGGCGCGACGCTGTCTTTCCGCGCACGTTGCGCCAGATGTGGTTGCAGATGAAGCCGTAGCAGGTGCCCAGGATGACCACGGGCACCAAGAAGATGCTGCCGGTCATCCAGGTCACGTAGGCGCGGGGCCCCCAGGGTTGGATGAAGGTGACCCAGCAGTCGTAGGTCTTGGTGACGTTGTTCACCTCGACCATGGAGAAGATGAAGAACTGCGGCGTGCTCAGCACGAAGCTCAGCACCCAGGCGGCCGCGATCATGAGCCGCGAGCGGCGCGCGGGCTGCTGCAGTGTCTTCAGCGGGTGGCACACGGCGATGTAGCGATCGGCGGTCATGACCACCAGCATGTAGGAGGACGCGAACATGCAGAAGACCTGCAGGTGCTTCACCACGCGGCACAGCCCGTCGGGTCCGCGGAAGCGGTAGGTGATGTCCCAACACAGCTGCGGCAGCACCTGGAAGAAGGCGACGGCCAAGTCAGCCAGGCTGAGGTGGCGGATGAAGAGGTGCATGCGGGACGTCTTGCGGGGAGTGCGGTGCAGGGACAGCAACACGGTGCTGTTGCCCAGCACGGCCACCACGAATGTGACGGCCAGCACGGCGATCTCCAGCTTGGCCAGCTCCTCGTTGCGCGCGTCCTCCTGAGGCGCGTCGTCAGCTCCGAGCTGCTCGGCCTCGCGGCTGTGGTTGGCACCGGCCGCGGGCCACCAGGGGCTGGAGTTGCCCGCCGGCCCGGCGGCGGGGCCGGCGGAGAATCGCGCGCGGTCCATGCACAGGCGGCTGCTTCTCCTCCGAAGCTCGCGGGGTTCCCGCCTGCGGAGCCGCGGCTGGAGCGCTCTTCCCTGCCCGCGACCGACGCTCTCGGCTCAGCTCTCCCTCCTGCGGTCGTCTCGGGCGCTGCTCCCGCTCGCCCACTCGGAGTCCTCGCTCCGCGGTTCGGTCCCTTGCAAGCGGCTCTGAGTGACTGCTTCGCCCAGTCAAGCGGGCCAGATGCGTTCGGTGCCTTTGAAGGCACTAGTTTTCCTAATGTCTGCGCTCCTGCTGGGTCCCAGGGACTGGAAACTCTCCGGTAACTACAGTCCCCACCTCTCACCTCTTCTTCCCCGGGGGCTGGGGGGTGGGTGGATTTTTTTCCCCCTCCCTAAGGCGGTGATTTGTCCCCCTCCTTTTTGCATTAAGGCTGCTGGGGAGGGCTGGGAGATCCTCGGCGGAACTGGAGCTTTGCTGCTCTTCTCTAAAACTTACGAAACTGCGTGCGTCATGCCTTTCCTGCTTTTATCTCTGTTCCCTCACTAGATACACTCCGCCGTGGACTTAAATTGACACACCAGGAGAACCAAGAAAACCTGACGCCAGGAACGCCAGCGGTGGCACCAGAATTTGGCCAGCCTGGGTCCCCACCGCCTCCCGATCGGTTTCTCCCTCTGCAGCAAGCCTGAAGCATACCCGGCGGCCAGTCTGGTTAATCTGGTTCCCAGCGCAGTTTGGCTCCGGGAATGTGATCTCTCTCTGCCCAGTTCCTCCAAAGCTCTTTTCCCCAGGAACCTCTCGAATTCCTTCTATTTGCTACCCTGTCTACGTTTGCAGGCGGGAAGGACGCGAGTGAGTGTTATCTACAGCCGGGAAAAGGAACGAATTCCGCCGAGTTTTCCAGTGTCTCCCTGGGTTGGGTGTTCGGGGCTCAAGGAGTTTTCTCTAAACTAGATTCCTGAGGTTTTCTCCAGGGAAAATCTACTCCCACAGAGGAGATTGCCGGGAATTGAGCCTCAGTAGTCCGTGGGGACTTAGTGCTGCTGTTCCAAGGGACATCGCTTGGGTGGACAAAGAACAGCTGCTAGAGTAAGGTCACTCGGGCAGCCCCGTGTAGAACACTGGAGCGAAAACCCGCCACGTTTCTGCCAGTCGTGGTGAGAAAGGAGAATTTTGGCCCTCTGCAGAAGAGACCACCGCCTAGCATATCCATTAATTACTGAGGAAGGTTAGAGCCCTGCTTCTGGGGGCCACTTAGTCAGCAGCTCCAACTCTTTAGCTTGAAGTTTTAACACTGGGGAGAGTGTGCTTCCCACGACAGCAAGGGGGTGCTGTTCTCGGGCTATTTTAGCAAAGAACTATGTTACAACTATGTAAGATAAAAGAACATGAATTTTGTCCAGATCGTTTGTACATTGTGACTTTGGTATAAGTTAAGTTGTCTTAGGAAAACTAAGAAGCCTAAGTATAGAAATCCTGTTTTCCAGGAGCCATTTTCTGATCATTCTGCTTTGCTTCCGAGGGTCTTCAAGCTAGTATGATCACACTAAAAGCACTAGATTCAGGATCTGGTGCCCTGTTTCATAGTGGCTGTAGTCTCAGTTTAAACATCTCAAAAATTGGACAAGAAATACCAGCATTACTTTGTTAGGTGGTATGGGGATCAAGCATGGCAGTGTTTTGTGTGGCAATACACTCTCATTCAGTTCTCCAAGATAGCTTGGAAAAAACTATTAAAAGGCCTTAGTGATGGAAAAAAGCAAACGGTTCCCAACCTACCTGCCTGGAAAAATCCTTCCAGCCATTAGGTTAATAGTCACTAACTCAGAGAGGTCACCTTCTAAGTCACACATTACATTTTTAGTGCTCCTTTTGAGAAATAATGTTGCTTGGATCTGAAGTGCCTTGATATTGCAATTGTAGTCCATTTGCCAGAGCCGGGCAGTTTTTTAAAAAATTTAAATCAAATTTCATTGACTTACCATTAGGCTACAATACTGTAAACTTTCAAAGTGTCTTACCCGTCCCACCTAACACTACATCAATATTCCTTCTTTATTGTTCTCTGTTTTTCCTTGCCTTGTCCTCCCCATCTCTTACCTCCTTCTCTTGCTTTTGTTATTTAATTGATGCTGGTCTGGGTTGTTGCACATGTATGCTGGGTTGTGGGCATTGCACATCTGTTTGCAGAATCTATGCATGTGGCCCCAGTGCTCTCTGGGGATTGCACATTTTAGGTATGGTATATATACGCATATGCTCCGCACAGGTCTCGCTCCTAATTTTAGTGCTCAGGCATATCCTGGTTGTAGTGCTTGCCAGGAGGTGCACTCCTGGCCATGTTGCTCATGCTATCTTATAGTTGTAGTGCTACCTGGGAGTCTCACACCTTAGTCACAATGTTCATGCGCAAACTGAGCATGGAATCATCTACTCTCTCGTACTCCTTTAGTTCCAGAAGAAAACCTTTTTTTCTTCTAATGAAAGAAAAAAATTATTTTATTTTACATGTAAGGAAGCATTCCCAATTTTCTTCTGTGTGATAGAAGACAGTGGCTGGTTTTCTATGAGAAGAGTCATATGGTCAAATACTTTGGGGAAAATATTACTTATGAATCCCGTCCTTGCTTGGAGATTCATACAGAAAAGCCCTCTGAGGGGAGCTACTACCTAATCTTGTTTATTAAGGGTTTCCAAAGCTACTTAAGTATGGAAACTTCCATCCTTTTACTATCTTATGTAAAACAGTGATGAGTTTGTTACAGGACAACTGATAGTCTGAAAAAGGCTGAATAAAGGTATTTGGAGTTCCAGAATGCTCAGAGACTAATTAGTGGAATTAGCCAAGAAATTGATTGAAGGGGCCAGAGTGATGGTACAGCAGGTAGGGCCTTTACCTTGTTTGCAGTCAACCTGGGTTCAATCTCTGGCATCCTCTATGGTTCCCTGAACACTGGTACAAGTAATTCCTGAGTGCAGAGACAGAAGTAACTCCTGAGCATTGCCAGATGTGACCCCAAAAAGCAAAACAAACAGACAATCAAAAAGTAAAAAAAGAAAAGAGAAGAAAAGAAATTGATTAAAGTTTCCTACTTCCTCTAGTACAGGGAAGCCCCATGTAAATGGGTTACATTTAGTCTGTCAAATTAAATTCCTGAACTGTAGCTGCTAGTCAATAACTCCTGATTTTTCCCTTTAATCTTAGTTCTTTTTCTGTTTCATAAAGAGGAAATGGAAGAAACTTGCTATTTGTAGGAGCATCCATTTTACTTCTATAGCCTACATGGCTGTGTTTCCTCCCATTTTAAAGCCAGGATTTGGAACTTGCAAGGCTGTATAGTCTGGTATTCTTACCAGTACCTGTAATAAACCAACAAAATAAGTATTACACATCTGTGTTTTAAGTCTTGAGCTGGATACAAAGATGAATTTCAATGATCATTAATGTTTATTAAACACTTGATTAAACATTTATGACAGTGCTAGACATTGTCATAAATATTTTATAAGTATTACTTTACTTACTGGCCCTCCCGTTGATCGTCGATTTGCTCGAGTGGGCCCAGTAACGTCTCCATTGGAGACTTTGTTGTTACTGTGTTTGGCATATCGAATACTCTCGGTAGCTTGCCAGGCTCTCCGAGAGGGGCGGAGGAATCAAACTCGGGTCGGCCATGCTGGCCGCTTGTAAGGCGAACGCCCTACCGCTGTGCTATCGCTCCAGCCCTTAATATGTCCAGTGATTCTATGAAGAATGTACTCTGATTATTTTATTTTATGTTTAAGGAAGCAAAGGCACAGAGGGGGTAAATAACAGCCATAGGCAAATAACAGCCTCTAGCCAATGTGTAGCAGAACTATGTTTGAACAGCAACAAGGGACTGCAGCAAGATTTACAATCTTAATCATCACATTGTACTGCCACCTGAGAACCTCATGTTCTGGATTCTATAGATTCATATAGAATACTTGGTGGGTTATAAAACACATTTGATATATTCTCTTTTAATACTATGAGATTCTGTAGGATCTGCACTAATTATTCCATATCTTTGATTTCCTTGCTAATAAACAAAGTTCTGAGCATAATAGCAACAGTAGTAGTTGTAGTAACAGTAATAGTAGTAATAGCAGCAGCATCTCTAATACTCATAATACTGATAGATAATTTTGATACTTTGTGTTAACATAGATTAAACTCTTTATAAACTAAATGCTTTAAACTCTGATTTCAATGAAACTCAAACTTTAATAATAAACATTAAAAAGTGCCTATCCAAATAGCAGGTTGGAGAGTGGGTAGGAGAGGGAACACTGGTGGAGGGAAGTTGACACTGGTGGTGGGATCAGTGATGGAACATTGTATGTCAAAGGCCAAACTAAGAATAACTTTGTAACTCACGGTGCTTTAATAAAATAAAATAAAACCAAATTCACGATTTTACTTAATCTTTGGAGTAATATTTAATCTGTATGCAAATATATGGTAATGATCAACACACTTTAAAAATGAGTAAATCAAAGGTCCAAGCAGTTAAATCAGTTAATTAAATCTTCAAAATTCCAAGTAGCTTTGCTGAGTCACATATGGGCACATTTGTAGTTGAGACCTGAATTTTAACTATGCTCTGCTACCTTCCATACACATCCCACGCACTTACCACATATTTGCTGAATGAACAAACAACCTTTGTAATAAAAACTGATTTTTGAGTGCTAAGTAAATGTGCTAAGAGCTAAGATTCAAAACCTGGTTGCTTTGTACTTGAATAACTCAAGGAAGACACTTGAGCAGTATCCTCTGAGTGCCTAGATCTCCATTGTAACTGTGGAAAAGAGAGCCAGTGTTTCAATACAGAAGGGAACTAAATGGTTCTGCTGATCAGTCTGCATTAAGTAATCTGGACAGATGAGTATTTAGTTTTAAAAATTATGGACATTCTGGATACTGTGAGCAACATACACAGCTTCTAAAAAATGTTATGTGTCAAAAATGGAAAACTATTAGGTGTTCATTAAAATTCTATTTACTCTAGAAAACAAAATAGAA